CTCTGAGAGTCCCCCGCCCCCGCTCTAAAGTCCCAGATCTCTTGGCACAAAGCCCACCCACAGGTCTCCAAACAGGGTTCTCCCTCTGCTCTCCTTCCTCCTTTCCAGTTCATCACTAAGTGGCAACCACCTCAACCTCAAGGGCTGAGTTCAGTAGGAGAGGAAAGCAGACAGGTGGGCAGCCAGGCGGCGACTCTTGCTACTAGACTGTGACCTTTGAGATGGCGTTTTGGTTGAAATCCATCATGTCTGGATATACATTTATTTCCTCCTTTTTCCTGCTCATAAGATCAAAAGAGAGAAATTTGGCCTCATAGTTCCATTTAAAAGGAGATGAATAATTGACTTTCCACTTAGAAGTAGTTAAAATATTGAAAACTTAAATATTTAAAAATCACATCTTGAGCTGGGCAGCGGTGGCTCCTGTCTTAAATCTCAGTACTCAGGAGGTAGGTGGATCTCTGAGTTTAAGGTCAGCCTGAGAGTTCCAGCTAGAGTGAGTTCCAGGACAGCCAGGGCTATACAGAGGAAACTCTCTCTCAAAAACAAAAAGTTAAAAGCCACATCTTTTCAAAAATATTTTTAGGGGGCTGGAGAGATGGCTCAGCGGTTAAGAGCACTGACTGCTCTTCCAAAGGTCCTGAATTCAATTCCCAGCAACCACATGGTGGCTCACACCCATCTGTAATGAGGTCTGGCGCCCTCTTCTGGCCTTCAGGCATACACACAGACAAAATATTGTATACATAATAAATAAATAAATATTAAAAAAATATTTTTAGGGACTTACTTTCTTCTGTGTCTGGGTATGTGCAGGTGAGTGCAGTGCCCAAGAAGGCCAGAAGAGGGCGGCGGATCACTGGGAATTGGAGCTACAAATATTTGAAAGCCTCGGGATGTGGGTGCTGGGAACTGAACTAGGGTCCTCTGCAAGAGTAACCAGTGTTCTTTGTTGAGAGTGCAAAGGTCCTGGTGCTCACAGATTGTACTAGAGAAACTAGGAATGTTAAACATAAAGGGTTGTCTTTTCTTTTGTTTTGCCAGATAGGGTTTCTGTTAAATAGCCCTAGCTGTCCTGGAACTATTGCTGTAGACCAAGATGGCCTCAAACTCAGAGATACACCTGCCTCTGCCTCCCGAGTGCTGGGATTAAAGGTATGCGCCACCACCTCCCAGCAAAGGCTGTCTTTTCAAGGGAAAAGGTAAATAGCCTGTTTTCTGTTCAGAAGGCTGGGAATGGAGGTGGTTAACAGCTTCGGTAACCCCTGCACTATCTGCGTGGCTAGGGATTTCCCCGGATTCCAAAAACAAGACTCGAGATACTTAGTAGTCTAGGTGACCCTTGTGCTATCTGTCTGTCCAGGGGCTTTCCCACAACCAGGACCAGAGGTGGGTAATAGCCCATATGATCTCTACACTATCCGAATGAGGGGGACCACACCAGATCCTCCCCTAGGCCCTTAAGATAACACACCTAGCCTACCTCTATCACCCACCGTCACAGAAGAAGTGACATGTATTTTGAGAAAAGTTGTGATGTAATTATGCCTCCTTATGGAGATGGGATTGTCACCAGGGTGGTTTTTTTTTTTTTAATAGTACTCTACTTAAATTTGCCTAAAATAAACTGCCTGATGTTGGACTCTAGAACAGTGGTCCTCAGCCTGGGGGTTGCAGTCCCTTTGGGGTTCGGATGACCTTTCACAGGGGGCTCCTAAGACATCTACATATTAGATATTTATATTATAATTAATAACAGTAGCAAAATTACAGTTATGATGTAATAACAAAAATAATTTTATGGCTGGAGGGCATCACCCCATGAGAACCTGAATTAAGGGGTCGCAACATTAGGAAGTTTGAGCCTCCACTGGCTACCGAATCCGGTTGAACTGGATCTCCCTCTGGTTCAGACCATTACTCTCAGTCCTAGTGCTTGCAGAGACCCCCAGTTCAACCACCGAGGTATCTCTCACCCCTCAAGGAGAGCTTTATGTTGGAAGAATGTTGGACTGGTGTTTTGGATTGGGAGTTTATCCACCCCCTTTGCTAGCATTTCCAATTTGCATAGTGATGGTCATAATCCTTGGCGCCACCCCTGGAGGCCAGAGAGGGTGTCAAATTCCTTGGTGCTGGAGCTACAGGCAATTGTGAGCTGTCTGTCTTAGGTACTGGGACCTGAACTCGGATCCTCTGCAAGAGCAGTACGTGCTCTTAATTGCTGAGCTGCATCTCCGGCCCCTGAACTTTGTGACTCAGCCTCCCGAGTGCTGGGATGACAGGCATGCCTGATAGCATCTGGCTATTTATGACTTTGATGACTATCTCCCTTCTCTAAAATGTGAGTGTCCCAAGACTGGGAAATCTGGTCTATTTTTCTTCCCATCACCAGGATACATGGCTTGATCAGAGCAAGTTTGTAGGACACATGAATACACTCATAAACACACACACACACACACACTGGGCGGTGGTGGCAAATATCTTTAATCTTAGCACTCAGGAAAGAGAGACAGATTTCTGAGGCAGACTGGTCTACACAGAAAGTTCCAGGATAGCCAGGGCTACACAGAGAAACCCTGTCTCAAAAAACCGTAAGAGCTGGTAGTTAAGAGCACTGGCTGCTCTTCCAGAGGTCCTGGGTTCAGTTCCCAGCAACCACAGGGTGGCTCACAACCATTTTCTAGTGGGATCCGATGCCTTCTTTTGGCATGAAGGCATACTTGCAGCTAGAGCACTCATATACATAAAATAAATAAATTATTTAGTTATTTAAAAAAATAATTTAAAATAAGCACATACACAGGTGTGAGTGCACACACACCATACATACACCTAAAATATTTGCAGAATGGATGACGATGCGTGTCATCCCACCGCTTGGGAGGTAGAGGCAAGAGAATGTTTTTGATTTTTGAGACAGGGTTTCTCTGTAGTTTTTGGAGCCTGTCCTGGAACTAGCTCTTGTAGACCAGGCTGGCCTCGAACTCACAGAGATCCGCCTGCCTCTCTGCCTCCTGAGTGCTGGGATTAAAGGCGTGCCCCACCACCGCCCGGCAAAGCTAGTTTCTTTGTTTTTTATTTTTCGGTAACTTTTAACTTTATTGGTGTGTGTATAGTGTATGTGTGTGCGCACACACCATCACGCATGAGCCACATGTGTGGACATTGAAGGACCGTGCTGCTCCATTTCCTCGGCTTGTGAAAGTTTAGTCAGAGCCTGCATTTGCACAGCTACTGGCACAATCGTGTGTCATCCCGAGTGCCTGTGGGTGCAGGGCATGAAACGCAGGTCCTTAGGATCGGCAGCAGGCATACTTACCTACTGAGGCACCTTGCTGGCTCTGTTTCTTGCTTTTTGAAGAAGTAAAATAAAAATACGGAAAGGAAGTGGGGTCTGGTGGCACACGTCTTTAATCCCAGCACTTGGGTGGCAGAGGCAGGGGGATCTCTGTGAGTTCAAGGCCAGGCTGGTCTATAGAGCAAGTGCCAGGACAGGCTCCAAAGTTACACAGAGAAACTGTGTCTTGGAAAACAAAAACAAAAACAAAAAAAACCACAAACAAAACAAAACAAACAATAAAAACAACAAAAAAACAGAAAAGGGAAAGGTTAGACATGTCACTCTGGACGCCTCTGAAAGATGTAAACAAATGTGTACTCTATGAAGACAAACAACTGTACAGATGTGAAGCGGACATTTGGTTGTGGAAATGTGCTTACCAAACGGCACCGAGCACTTCTAACAGCCACCTCATCATGGTCTCTAGATACAGTTGTTCTTGGAGATACTGGCTCAAGAATCTCTACCACCATCCAATCCAAAGACGCTGAGACGTTCAATCCCTTATACAAAAGGGTATTCTATGGGCTGGGGTATGGCTCAGTGGTAGAGCCCCCGCCTAGAATCCCCAAGTGAGGGGCTGGGGTGTGGCTCAGTGGTAGAGCCCCTGCCTAGAATCCCC